TTCAATTCAAAATTGCTTTATTGGCATGACTGTAAATGATACAATATTGCCAAAGCTTAGTACACATGTACAAAAAGATAAAAACAAATAATAATAATATAATAACAATAATAATAAGTAAATAAACATCACAGTAATATAATGGAATATTATAACATCTTAGAAGTATTAAACTGTAACAAATTATAGCATGTGAACATTTGATCTTAGAAGTATTAAAATAACAAATTATAACATGTGAACATTTGATACCACAGTCTTTAACTTTTTAGAAACACACAAATACTTCGGATATATCTATCTATCTATCTATCTATCTATCTATCTATCTGTCTGTCTGTCTGTCTGTCTGTCTGTCTGTCTGTCTGTCTGTCTGTCTGTCTGTCTGTCTGTCTGTCTGTCTGTCTGTCTGTCTGTCTGTGTATATCTATCTATCTATCTATCTGTCTATCTATCTATCTATCTATCTATCTATCTATCTATCTATCTATCTATCTATCTATCTATCTGTCTTCTCTGTCTGTCTGTCTGTCTGTCTGTCTGTCTGTCTGTCTGTCTGTCTGTCTGTCTGTCTGTCAATCTATCTATCTATCTATCTATCTGTCTGTCTGTCTGTCTGTCTGTCTGTCTGTCTGTCTGTCTGTCTGTCTGTCTGTCTGTCTGTCTGTCTGTCTATCAATCTATCTATCTATCTATATGTCTATCTGTCTGTCTGTCTGTCTGTGTATATTTATCTATCTTTGTCTATCTATTTGTCTGTCTGTCTATCTTTCTGTCTGTCTGTCTATCTTACAATGAGGCATTTACAATGGAAGTGAATGGGGCCAATTTGTAAATGTTAAAACACTCACTGTTTCACAATATGTATGTTAGCATGATTTTAATGAAGGAAAAATAATAAAATAAAAAAAAATAAATAAATAAAATTACATTAAATAAATAATAATACAAATAAAATAAAATCAGAATATAAGTGGTGCTTTTTCCTAATCTGAAATGCCCTGTGTTTGTTGTGAAGTGAGGGAAACTAAAATACACGTTTCTAGTGTTTATAATGTTTGTAAATGTTTCATGTATCAGTATTTTACATCATTTTCGAATGTTAAAACAAAATGTTGCTTATAATCCAATGTGACTAATCCATTATTTTTTTTTCTTTACCTCTCAACACTGCAATTTTGACCCGCTGTGACTTATTTTATTTATTTATTTTTTAAATCTTACTAAAACTGGCTATATATTAAAATTATATATATATATATAATATATTATTTTGGCAATCAACATTCAGTCATGATCACGATCATGGTCATTAGCAAAACTTTGGCAAAAAATCACAGACAAAGAAGGTCCATGGTCAAACACTGTTTACTTAGGGTTCATTTCCAAACTAAACAGCATTATTTAGATAAATGCAGTGAATGTACCTGTTCAAAGATAAACAAGCATGAATCTGATGCACAATTAGTGTGAGAAACACAGCCCTCATCTGAAATTCCCAATTGTGCAGATTTCTATTGAGAAGATTCCTTCATCCATGCACCACAAATGCTGTCGCTTGAGCTTAATTTCAAAATATTCCTTCAAGGGGTCTGATAACATGAACTCTTACCCTGGTTGGCAGTAGCTTTGTTAAGGAATTAACAGGAAGTGAGTAAGCAGAGCTTTTAGAGATAAAGTTTTGTATATAGGCCTATATATATGTGTGTGTTATCAGTCCCCAAAGACATCACCCGACTAACTTCCTCAACCATTGTCCCTTCCTGATTCAAATCTTAAATCGTTACACTGTCCAGCCTCTGGACAGGATGTGGTACAGACTGGCTTCTCAGTCAATGGAACAACACCGCGTCATTATCAACAGCTGCCTTCGGGATCCGAAGTCTCCGAGGCATGTCTGTGATGTCATTTCCTGTGCACACTAATAGCTTTGGCTGGAGGGAAGATGCGGATTGTGGTCCGTCTTCCAGTCAAAGCAAGACTCGTAACATACGTTTCCAATAATTCTCTGAGAGTTTTATGCGTGTACAGGATTACTGGGGGCAATAATCACATTTTGTACAAATAAAGCAATAACCGAGAGTGTGCAAATCTGTGCGGTGACAATATGAATGAGTGCCTCCGATAAAACCACATTTCCATTCGATGAACGTAATCATTTTCATTGACTAAGTTGCTTTCTCACGACGCCTCCATTCAAAAACGAATGTGCATTGATTATGAAAATCATTTGATTACCAAACAAAAACTCACATTAATAGTCAGCGAATGGATGTGTGATGCCCTCCATTTCCCCAAAATCCCATTTCTACAGCAAACTAACCACTGTAACCCCATGTTTATTTTCTTAACTCTCTCGCCAAGGTTCACCGGAGACCACGAGAACACAAACCTTCCCCCTAAACTCAGACGGGTTGATGTAGAGCCACCGGACTGAATATATTCATGAGATGGGAAACCCTTTTCCCCAAAATATGTTTATTTTTCTACTTTCCACGGCCTGCTCCGGCGCTCGAATGACCCTCAGTCCAGCACAGGATTGTGGGAGACATTCTCTTTTGGTTACATAAGCTTCGAAAAGCCAAACTTTCGGATACTGTACATCACCTGATTAATTAATCAACAAATGGCCCAGGTCTAGGCGTAAAAGTCCGCCACACGCATGCTAATATCAGCGAGGCTCGATCTATCACTGCTCTCGCTGACAGCCCACCATACATCTCAAGGACTTTTTCATTAACTCTCCTTAAATAATCTTCCGTTTCAGCACGTGCCTCTCTTAAAACCACACGTGGAGAGATATGCAGAGAAATGAATCTATTTCAAACTTCTAAGGCACGCAAACAAGTAAGGTCAAAAGTGACTCTTTGGCTCTTTCAAAGGGTTTCTTGTGGGCTGAATGCAAATTATTTAACCCTTACAGTAAAACTCCTGTGGGAGTCGACGTCAGTTCACAGATGAAATGGGCCGAGTGCACTGTGTTTTACTCATCTCAACAATGCCTGAGGCTTTAAGCGTAATTGTCATTAACAAATGGAGAGACTCTGTAATGAACAACACGACTGGGTTGTATTTGATGTGCAAACAGTACTTCTGTGACCTGTGGGATGGGACTGAGTCTCCCAGTTCACTTCGTTCATTTTGATAAACATGGAAAGTAATACGCTCTGGCACGTTCCCTAGACCTCACATCAAGAGTTTGTTTTCACCATCAATCATCTTTACAAGAACCTCTTAAAAAGACCCCAATGGCTTGATGAGAAGTCACTAGTCGGTAACAGGTTGCAAATTCAGAGATAATCATTTAAAAATCTGCCTTTTTTACAGTGTATGCCAATATATAAATATGTTTGGTTGGTTTTGCTTGAAGAAAAAATATTGTACATTTGTGTATTCGTGTATATCTCGTAACAGTGAATTCTGTAAAACTCTAGGATATGTGAACAAAGATAACAAACATAAATAAAACTCCACTTCTGATTTTATGTCTTTAAGTAAACCAGAGCCAGTTCTTTTTGCATTCACACTGAACTCACATCTCTTTTGGCTCCGCCCTGATATGGATTCAGTCCACTATCCATTCACATTGTGGTTTTGCAGAATCCAGAGCACTTGGGTATTATTGATTATCCTACTTTCTTCAATTTCACTTTCAAAATACTGACTCTCATTCATCTCATTCTCATTCATATATCAGTGTTTTATTGTTAACCAAAACGACAAAAAATGCAATAATTAATCTAAATTTAAAAGCACAAACACTTATTAAAACTTAACATTTAATAAAAACTAAGAATATAAAAACAAAAGCTAATTCAAAATATCAATAAATATTAGAATAGCGTATAAATAATGCTAAAAAATAATCTGCCTTCAAATGAACCATAATCAGTCCATGTCCTAGGATGCTCTTTGTTTGGTTTGCTTTAGAGTCGAGTTTGTTGTGTTTACATATTCTAAATATTAAAAAATAATAATAATATAATAATATAATAATAATATATATATATATATATATATATATATATATATATATACTGTATATATATATGTATATATATATAGACACTCTTACATGACGAATCTGAAGAATCAGAATATGAACGAACAGATCTGAAACAAACAGGAACAGCCTTGACATCTCTTCTGTGATCGGTGCGGCAAGAGCAAACGATCTGAACAATCCCTAATAGCTTCAGCAGTATTTTCTTGTCTATGCTACACAGAAACAGAACAAGCACAGAACAAGCTGAATGGTGGCGACATAATTAAGTGGTAAATGAATCAGAGACCACACAATACACGGAGACAGTGTTCTCTGTCCTTTTGTTCTCCAGCTGAATGAGCTTGAATCAGTGCTATTGGTTTTGGCTGGCGCTGTGTTGGCAGAGCTGGCAGTGAGACGGGCCGTCAGCGGGTCAC